GGGTGGGAGAAGGATCATGATTGGTTATAGTCTTGTAAATTTTGTTACTGTAAAAAAAGAACCTTGCCCATAGAGAGTTTCTAGGAGCCATCATCATCAATGTAGCTTAATTTATCAAGAATAATGACAAGGTTGTTGCATTGGGAGTAGGCCATGGATGATAGGAGTGAAACATATCATATATAGATTCACAGGTTAAGGCCTTCTGAATGGTGTTCTTCCTCATCAATAGTACAATAATGCAATTGGGTGGATTTAGATTGCATAGTATGATCAGACCATGTGTCCTACCAAAACAAAATAGTATCACATCTCCCAAAATCACATTTAGCCAAAGACTAAAATTGGTTCCATGGAGACATACAATGTCTCGAACAAAAAGAGCAATGCCTGCCAAAGTGTTGTGGCAGACATGTCAGAGTAATGAGCTTCCAAGATGATATTTTTTCCACTATAATCCTAAAGCAGGATTATATTTGTGTCTTAGATTGAGAGTCAAATATTTTACATTGAGAAACAAATATTTAGTTGTTTTGAATGGTGGACATTCGAATCATGTTTTTTCTGATTATTTCCATGTGTACTCTTTGCAGTGGGGAAAAAATTCAAGATATTGTCTGTCTGAAAACCATAGAAATGAAAGGAAGAGTGAAATGGGGGGATTTAAGAAAAAATCCTCAAGGATCTTTGTCACTCTCAAAGCCGGTCAATAATGGTAAGATCACATTCTTACATTACAGAACATTCATCCTTGTTCTTATGATTTGGCATTCTCCCCTTTCAGGATTATTTACTTTTGTGCTAAAATGAGTTTGAAATTGTATTTGATATACCTAGATAACTATGTCTTTGTTAGCGTCAGTTTGCTTCATCATAAGTTTTAATAGTTACTGAAACATCCCAAAAATAAACATGAACTGACTTTCTGGCAACCAATATCATATTAGGTGATTTCACTGTTGTTGAATGTTGAGTCTTCGAAAAACGGCTTATTGGGAATGAAGCAGGTAAGATTGACACTTGATTTTTCATTTATTGTCTTTAGAAGGTATGGACATTCAGAATATTATGCTTAAGCTATTTATGACACCGATGCAGGTTGCGAAGATGTTAAAATTGAACAAAAGAATTGGTTTAGCAACTACGGAAGATGGTTCATATATTTATGTATGTCCTGGACACAAGGCAAAATATGGTTTCTGGAAAGGTGAGTCAACAATCGATACAAACCAAGACTCATTAATCGGTTTTGTTGTACAGGACCGAAAATCCCCAGTAAACACCATAGTTTTAAATAGCCAGCTGTAGCTCTGCTACAGCCCGCTATAGCCTTTTCAGCAGGGTGCCGCTAAATGGTCGCCTTCACAAATAGCCCGCTATAGCTTATTTGGAGGTCCGCCGCTGTTTTCCATAGCCCGCTATTTAAAACATTCTAAACACAAGCAAGGGAGAGATAAGTATTGCGAAAATACAAGAAATCGGGGGCACTCATGTGGAATCACAAGAAGCGATATGCAGTAAGCTTGTACTATATATTAGTCCACATGCATGGAAGTCTTATTCTCTCGATGTCCTCCTCTAGTACTTGCTGATCATGGACGTCATCCTTCTCTTCTTTCAGATCAACGATCATACCATGTTCATCCTCTTCGTGCACCAGTCGATGATGGCCTATATTTTCGGCGTCCTCCTCTGGTACTAGCAGAGCTAGGCTCATATTGTCCGTATCCTCCTCCTGGACTACTAGGTCACAACTTCCATGCTCGGCATCCTCTTCTTGGACTGTCAGGTCAAGGATTACATCCTCGACATCCTCCTCAATCCTCATGCACCAGAATGTCAAGAAATCTTTCATCAGCTTCCTCCTTGTCCAAGAGGTCAAGGATTCATTACCCATCGTACATGCTCCCAATTTTGCACTAGAATATTTCAAGCCCTTAATAGACCATGGAAACAACAACGGTATTTCTCCTGACCAGCAACATTGGATGTTTAGCGAATGGCTCGAGACTGACTATGTTATTGCAGGTTCACAACACTTGAGGCCACCTACCGGTTCTGCTCCTGGTCATTTGTGGCATAGAATGTCGTGCCCAAGGTCCGAGAATAATCATCCTGGTTTTGAAAGATCAGAAGGCTTCTGTGGTTATAGCTCCACATATATTACTCTAGATTCAAAAATGGGCCAGGTAGCACGCCTCCCAACTAAAGTAATTGATGAAATTGCAGCCTTGTCCCAAGAAACATTCTGAATGATTTGTCTTAGACTGGTGTATTCAGAATTACAAGGAAGACACCAGGACATGGGTTCTTGTTTCTATTTCCAATCGGGCCAATTACTCCCAATATCCATAGAACATAATTCCTGATGTGTACAATGATGCATATGACATTTCATTCAGTCTCCTGATAGGATGTTTGCTAGCACTAGTATGTTCCAACCTTCATTGCTACATGTATCTTCAGATTTGGTGATTGATGAGGTTATCATGTATCTTTCTGGATAGTCATAGGAAGTTTTTCTTCTGAATAGCTACAGCGTATGTCTAGTAAACTATTCCGTATGGTAGATTTCACGATGGAACAAGTCCTGTAGTCTCATCATCACATTGGTGGGCTTCTTTTTTTTACTAAAAATACTATCAAACACCTCCCTCGTCGTCGATTCAGGATAAATTTCCCTAGGATATGCTATCCGTTTG